TTGAACTCTTAAAAATCGAGTTAATTAAAGTCCTTAGAGGTGAATTCATTGTTTCAAACGCCTATCTTTCAAAATTTGGCGTAATCACCTCAATTCAAGAAGCATAGCCACCTATACCCATATCTCCTACCTCGAACCAAAAAGCCCAACATTTGAAAGCCAAAAAGTCCCAATGATCCCAATAGCTCAATTATTTGATACTAGCCGAGTAAAGAAATTTCGTGAGTCTTTGGAGTTGAATATTATTATGTAAGTATAAATTTTCTCCATTTTTAATGTACAAATATGGGATACTTGAAGCGATAGCATGGTTTGTGGTTTTTAGCAATGGTGAGTGAATACGTATCTTTGAATTACGAGCTTGTATATTTTAGAGAATTGTCATGATAATTGCAAGTTCTGAAAAAATGAAAGTTGACCATTAATCTATGTGATGAGAGGCATTTGTTGAGAGTGTTGCTGTGAAAGTTGCTAGTTTTTGCTTGAGGACAAGCAAAAGATCAAGTTTGGGGGTGTGTTAAGTGTATATTTTTACACTTTATCGTATCTGTTTATTTGAGCTTTTTGTGTGAATTAATGATAATTGGTGCTTAAAAAGATGATTTATTGTATTTTAGGTATAAATTGAAGAATTGGAAAAGTATGGGGTCAAAACTGCAAATTTGGAGAAAATATGGGCCAAAAGTGAAATAATCAAAAATATGCTGAAATTGGCTGAAAATAGGCCCGCACGGCCGTGCCAAAATTAGCCTATTTTTGGCACGGCCGTGCCAAATGCTGAATTTGGGCAGAAGGTCCGACGATTCTCGCGCGGCCGTGCGAGAATTGCACTGATTTTCGCGCGGCCGCGCCAACACACGCTGGACACAATTTTGGACTTTTAATCACACAAGGAAACCTAAAATCATCTACCAAGTTGGGGCATCTATTCAAGACCAAACCAAGCACGAATCAATAGACTTTTGGACACAACCTTGGAGCGAGATGAGCGAGAGAACGGAGAATCGAAGACGGAGAATTGACAACTCTTCATCATAATTCTTCTTTCACCTATCTTTTCTTAATCTATGACTTTTATTACTTTTATTATGTTTTTCGTTATGAGTAGCTAATTTTTTAATCTAGGATTTTGTTGGAACCCTATGTGGGGATGGTGAACCCGTTTTCTTGAGATTATGCAATTATGATTTTATGATTATTTCTTCTACTTGTTATGATTGTTAGTGCATGAACCTGATCAATTTATGTGCTTTATTTGTGATTATTGGGATTGACTCGACAGAGCTATTTTGATAATTAGACGGTAAGTAGAAGAGCCTTCGAGTAGTTTTCACCGGATGAGTGTGTCAATTGCATGTGGTGTCGTAGACATACAGATATCACCTTAGGTAGCCATTTACGAGACTTGTTAGTTAATGCTTTATTTATAATTGGTTTGCATAGACATATAGTGAATCTTTTATGAATAATAGACTCGTAATACATGCGACAGCGGGTTATGAGTAAATTAGTGTCTCGGGTTAATAATCATGAATCATATATTTCATAATTGAGGGGTTTTGGGTGAGCAATTCTTGCATAGGGGGAAGATAAAATCCTAGGTCCGTTTTTATTGATATTTTCTCGTGTTTATTTGCTTTCATAATTAGTTTAATTATTTAGTTGATTATATTTGACATCTTTGCGTAGGCTGGATAAAAATCATAATTGTTAGAATTTGGTACTTAGGATTAGATAATTTACGTATTCCCTGTGGGATCGACATCCGACTCTCACGAGTCCACTTTTACTACTTGTTTGCGATATGTGCACTTGCGTGTTAGGTATTTAGCACCCAACACTCTTCTACCGCAGTTCTAATTATTAACCCGATCTTCCGATTCATGCGATTAACAATAACATAAAAGAACATAAGTTGATCAAGTTCATGCACTTAATAAAACAAGTAGAAGAAATAATCCGGAATTAAAACTTGCATAAAATCATAGAATTGGGTTCATAAATCCCACATAGGGTTCCAAATAAAATCCTAGAAATAAAGACTTAGCTACTCGTAATTCTTATGATAAATAAAATAAAATAAATAAATTAAATAAGAAAAACTATGCTTGAATCTTCGTTGATCTTCTTTTTTTTTGAATTTGCGTCCAAAGATTGATCCCCAATTGTGTGCTTGGCTTGGTCTTATATAGGGTGAAGAACTTGGGGAAGAAGGCAGTTTCCTTGTGCAATTAAAATCCCTTTTCTGCGCAATTTCGGAGTCTCGGACGGGGGTCCCATGATTTGCACTAAAACTGGGACGGGGGTCCGAGCCTTGTTTCTTCAGAATTTTGATATTTTCACTTTTGATCCATATTTTCGCCAAAATTGCAGTTTTGACCCCATACTTTTCCAATTCTTCAATTTGTACCTAAAATACAATAAATCAACTTTTTAAGCACCAATTATCATTAAAACACACCAAAAGCCCAAATAAAAAGGTACGATAAAGTGTAAAAATATACACTTAACAGCCAGCAACAACAATGGAGATAGAAGCAATAAGTGGAAGGTGAAGGTTATCCACAGGAGGTGATGTATTTTCTGCAAGATCTTCAAGCGCAGCAGGAGTATCACACTCATGGTCCACACTTGGCTAGTTCCTGTTCAATTTTGTTCATTTTCCACATGTTCATTTTCCACTTGCTTACTTTCCACTTGTTCGCTAAGGGGTAAACTAGAAGGAAGATTAAAAATATATTCAAATAAATCAACAGAATAATGAGACTCATTTGGAAATACTTCTAACGCGGATAAAGAAGTTAAAGAATAAGGGAAACGAGATAATTCAATAAAGAAGCGAAGTTCCTAAAAGACCATAATTACAAGAGACACGAAGATGGAGAGAGATAGATGTATAAAACCGATAGACCTTTTGGGTTTCTCTATAGCCAAGAAAGCAACAAAGTCTCGATCGAGGTTTGAGTTTGTTATGCTTGTGTGGTTGAACAAGAACAAAGCATGTTGAGCCAAAAGAGCGAAGCTGACTATAGTCTGGAGATTTCATGAAAAGACGTTCCTATGGAGTTGATTTTGAATAACATGACTTGGCATACAATTGATAATAAGAACTGCATGAAGGGAAGATTCACCCCCAAAAAATGTATAGGAATCTTAGTAGAGATAAAGAGAGCACGAACGGTGTCACGAATATGACGAAGTTTTCGTTCTGCTGGACCATTCTGTAGAGAAGTTCCTAGACAAGTTAGATGGTTCATAGTGCCATATGAATGTAAGATAGATTGAAAAGAATGTTGAGTATATTCAAGAGCACTGTATGATCTAAAAGTTTTGATACATTGTGAAAATTGAGTTTCAATCATTTTTGCAAAGTTATTATGTATCGACAATACTCCTAAGTGAGATTTCATTGGAAAAATCCAACTCAATCGAGAATGATCATTAATAAAGAATATCGAGAACCATCAATACCTAGGCCCCCAAATGTCGGAGTGCATTAATTCAAAAACTTTATTAGAAACATATTCACTATTATTACAAGATAAGGCTCACAGTTATTAAAAGATAAGGCTGGTTGTTTAACCAACTGACACGAAGTGCAATCAAAATGATCTTTAGACACATAAACTAACAGGCCTTTAAAAACCAAGAGTTTTAGACGAGACACGGGTGCATGACCAAGACGAGAGTGCCAAAGAGCAAGAGAGGTAAATATGAGATGATACAATAGCGGAAGCAACAACAATAGAGATAGGAGTAATAAGTGAATGATAAAGATTATCCACATAAAACATGCGTCCAATTCAAGGATCGGTCCCAAGCCCATGTCCTATCCTCGGATCCTACACAATACAACAAGGGCCTCTTTGGTTTGCCATATTAGGCTTGATGGGATGAATAATACCTTCGTGTATTATGTTTGGTTTGGTTGTTTGGTAAGGCTTTGATAAGGGGGCCCACAGATTCCATCCCTCAAACGATTTATTAGCAGTCACGCCAATATTGGCGTGATTGGCTGTCCTCTTTTTATCCCATCATGGAGTGGGTTGTGCAATATCGTTTTTGCCCTTGCAACACTTTGGTAATTACTGATTATTTTCATATAAAAACAAAAAGTACTTGTGAAAAAATCCCTTTTCCCGACATTAGCAAGCCCTAATCCGAAACGAAGGTAATTTCTTCATCTTCTTCACCGTTTTCATTTACAAAATTTTCAATCTGAAGCTAAAAATGCGCATATCATCTGAGTCTTTTACTCTCCGTAGGCACTCGGCACCATTACACGGCCACTGAAAGTCGTTTGTGTTGGTTGGTGTGGTCATTGTTCTTCTGCTCCGGTAAGTTGGTTTGTTACAGATTTTAGTTTTGTGTTCATCGTGTCTGGTATTTTAATTAGTCACACTACTTCATAAATCCGTCTAATATGGTTACCAATTTCAGGTTGTTGTTAGCTGATATTCTGCATAAGCTTGCTTCGTGATTTGGTATAAAGATACCCTCTTTCAATAGAGGCCGGGAACGTCGGATTAATTAACTCGGTCGGGTATGTCCGAAATTCTTGTTTAAAACTCTGTATTTCTTACAGGTTTAATTACTACATTTTTTGTTTACCCTAATTTGTAACATTTATGTGTATATTGTAGCCAATTTTGTATCATTTATGTACATATTGTCGTATCAGATATGTTGTCGATGTCATTATTCCGACCAAATATTTGAATGATTTTTGGGTGCATATTGTAGGGACTTATCGCCTTACGATGAATTTGTCAAAACAAGAGGAAGATGTTGTAGTTGTCTTGCATCAGCTAATGTTTAATTTGAGGCTATTTTTTTTAATATCTATGCGCATGTTTAGGCAGTTTAACCGTCGTCGTTTGACTGATTCCCAATCAAACAACAATCGATCTTATAGTTTGATAGGCAGAACCCATTCGCAACTTGATTACTTGCGTTCAATTGTTGGATTCGATGATGTTACTTGTCGTGACAATCTGAGAATGAATATTCAAACATTTTATCGCTTATGTTACGCTTTAGAAAATGTTGGTGGTCTTAAACCGAATAGAAATGTTACCATTCCCGAGCAAGTTGCAATGTTTCTTCAGATTTTGGCACACCACACGAAGAATGTTGTCGTGCGTAGTCATTTCAAAAGATCAGGTTATACAGTTAGCAAGCATTTTAATCGGGTCCTTTTGGCCTTGCTAAAATTACATGAGATGCTTTTGATTTCACCAAAAGCCGTCGACGAAAACTCGGATAACGAGCGTTTTTCATACTTTCAGGTAAAACAGCCCTATGTTTGTTACCATACATTATCATTGTAGTTAAATTACAACTAAAAAGATTTAATTGTTAACAATGCATGTAATTCATTTCTTACAACTGTTAGGGTTGTCTTGGGGCACTTGACGGGACATACATAGATTGCCGCGTTCCCTATCTTGATAAGCCAAGATATAGGAATCGCAAAGGCAATGTGTCATTGAATGTCCTTGCCGTGTGCGATAATAACATGAACTTTATTTACTTACTAACTGGGTGGGAAGGTTCGGCTGCAGATAGTAGAATACTTCGGGACGCGGTAACTAGGGGAAAACGGGTTACGGGTCCCTACTGGTATGTATGTGTACAAATTAACATATTAAGGTTATTATTAATTTGCACACTTTCCAAATTCTAAACCATATGACTTGCGTAAAACCACCGTGAATTTCTTTACTATTACAGGTAACTACTATTTAGTTGATAACGGTTACACGAACGGCGAGGGGTTCTTAGCACCTTACAGAGGTTCTAGGTACCACCTTGATGCATATGGTCAAGGCCCAAGTGCACCTAGAAACTTTAGAGAATTTTTTAACATGAAACATGCCAAGGCAAGAAACATAATAGAGAGGGCATTTGGGCTTTTGAAGTCAAGGTGGGCAATTTTACGAAGCCCTGCTTATTACCCCATCAAAGTTCAAAATAGGATCGTAATGGCTTGTTGTCTCCTTCATAACTTTATTCGAACCACGAATGACTTCGACCCTGATGAAGAAACGTTAGATGAATTTCTCCGTAAGAATCCAGGTGTGGTTAGTGGTGAAGATTACATTAATACCGTGGAAAGTTCACAAGAGTGGACTGATTGGCGGGATACCATAGCGTTGAACATGTACAATCATTGGCTATTATCTCGCTAGATTGGAGTTGTAATCTGTTTTTTCCAGACCCATTATTGGTTTCGTAGTTGGTTTTAATTATCTGCCCTATTCACATGTTTTTTTTTAATGAGATATTGTTTTCGAATGTAATGACAATTTGGTGTGTTGGTAAACTACATTGTAAACCTATTTGTTTTCAGCCGTTGTTGTTCATTTTTATTTGTTCAGTTTATGTTTTTTTGTTTTTTTTCTGGTTTAATGTATTTTTAATTTGTTTTATACCATCATTCACTAAATTGGTAAATTTCCAACAAATACAGGGATCATGGAAAACAATGTGCAATTCAAAAAGGGTTCTACAAGTAAGGGTGGTGTGAACACTAATAGGCGTAGTTGGACGGTCCTTGAAGAACAAACTTTAATATTAGGCTTGAAAGACATTGTGTCTAGGGGTTGGAAGAGTGAAAATGGATTTAAAACCGGTTTTTTAGGCACTCTTGAGCAGTTTATGGTGCAAAAATTTCCCGGTACCGATCTTAAAGCAACGCCACATATCTATTCTAAGATACACGTGTGGAAAAAACACTATGGTTCTCTAAGCACGATGTTGTCTAGGTTGGGATTCGGTTGGAACGATACAAACAACACGATCGAGGTTCATAGACGATCAAGTTTGGCAAGATTATATAAAGGTAATAATTCAAAATACACAATTTATATTGAATTAATATTTTTCCGACTTCAATTCCTTACCATTGAGATGAATTATTTATTATTTTTTCATACAAAATTGTAGACGGATGTCAATTCCCGTGCTATGCGATATAAATCGTGGCCATTCTATAAAGATTGGTGCGAAATATTTGGAAAAGACCGTGCTACTGGGGAAAATGCTGAAGCTTTTGTCGAAGCAATTAATGATTTAGTGGGGAATAACCAAGAAATGCGTCACACGTCTAACGAGGATGAGTACATTCCGCATGTAGAGCCTGCCAATGCGGACAATTACTCCCAATACATGTCTTTCAGTCGTGTTGATGAGGCGACCTCTTCTAAATCGAAGTCGAAATCGAAGAAACGTTCACGCAGCGATGCATTTGACAGTGGCTACATAGAGATGGCTGCAAATTTCTTCGAGAAAATGGAAGCTCAGATGGGTGAATTGGTTAGTCGCATGGGTTTCGAGAAAGATGTTTCCACAGCCAGAAAACAAGTTTTTGACGCCCTACAAAACATGGAGCACCTTACATTTGAGCAACGACTAAAAGTGACATCCAGAATCTGCGATAATAGCAAGGACCTCGACATTTTCTTCTGTTTGACTGATGAGCACAGGGCAAATATGGTGCAGCTGATCATAGAGGGTCGTTATTAAGTACTAAACATTTAACATATTGAGATGAATTAATATGTTTTTTTTTGGATGATTAATGACTGATGTATTGTAAGTTTTATAATACCGTTCCGAACCATTATCCTCTATATTTTGTACCTTTTTTGAGATGAAGGTTCAGTAACACCTAGTTGGTGCTACTGTTTTGTGTTGAACCTTCAAGATGAACTAATTATTTTGAACTCCTAATACTAGAAATTGTATATCTTCGTTTCAATATTTATTGTCTTACTGCAGTGAAAGAGAAAAAAAAAATAAAGCTTAGTTGGTGTATTAAATGGAGTTGCATATTATAACATATGGAAACATTAACAACGTAAACATAATTAGATCAAAAACTACAAACCTTAAAACAAACCTACAGCCATTCGATTATCTTACATGCACAAGAACATATGTGCACAAAACAAAGTATTTTTTAGAACGACATGCTCCCAATGTTACAAACAAAACACAAACCACCGAAACCAAGCCCGTTGTAATTCATTCGGGAGTATAAAACCCAGCGAAGTGTGGCTTGTTAGAAGCCGTTGAGCTCTTTGGGGTACCAAAATGGTTGAAATTTACTATGTTTTCCGCCCTTGGACGCACAACAGAGTTCTGTAACCCCGCTGGAATGTCCACGAATTGCGAGTTAGCCGTGCTTAGTTCCGTGTCTCTTGAACCATCAGAATCAGACACGTAGTTAAGGTAGTTCATCATGTCAAGATCCACGTTGTTCGATGTACCTGAAGAAATGTTAATTACTGAAATAGGGGGTTTGTGGGAGACATTTGCAAATTCTTGTTGTGCCACAATTTCAAATGCTTGAGCATTCATGCCGACTCTTTCGCCCTCTGCTCCGGGATCTGCATCCACCTCATTCAAAATCCCATTACATTGTTGCGTGTTATCGTCGTCGGACGAGACCACAATTATATGGTCGTCACCGTTAGGATCGTTGACAGGTTCGGATCCAAAGATACACTTTAGAGCCACGTATTTTGGTTCTCCGTATGGGCGGTAAGCGTAAGAGAAATGAATTGTCTGTAACGTGCAAAGCATAAAATATACGTGAGAACATACATATAATATTATTGTATTTATGTACTAAGAATTAAATACCTTTGAAATATAATCCCAAGTACCGTCTGGTGCAGAAACGATGTTCGTTGACGAATTATAAAGAACACCATCTTGTGCAAGAATCCAGTGGAACGTCTTGAAACGTTTGCGCAGCAAATCGAGCTTCTTAGTCAGATGTTTGTATGAAAAGAACGTGTTAAACTTGTTCTGTATGGCTTCTTGACAACTGAAAAGTGCAAGTGTATTATTATCTTCACGTTTAATATTGCCAAGACATGATTCCATACATAATAGCTCGATGAAATAATCATCGATTCTTTCACTCCATTCAAGCTCATACAAAAAATCTTCTTGTCGAAAGATTGGTTTTTTCTTTGGTGCCATGCAAATTATTCTTTATTTAATAATATGTAAATGTATTTTTACAGTTAGCAGTTTCGCTCTAGTCATTTATAAGGCAATGCAAACCCTAAAAAAATGCGTTAATTGAGGAGAGTTAGGATCTGAGCACATTTATCACCCATAAATATTATCCCATACAATTTAATGTAGGGATTGACAACACAAGCTTTAAATCACGTCACAAATATATGTAACATAGAATTTTCTTCATTATTACAGTGTGTAGTGGAGCAGTTGAAATTAAAGGTCATTGAGCACAATTGCAAATGAAAAAACAGATATACATTTAATCTACTGGTTTGTAGTGTAATTATCACGAACATTTAATACGAATTGGTAGTTAAGTGTTATGAAGATGCTGAACCGTCTGGTGCAAAATTAATTTACGTGCAAAAGACGGCTAATGGAGTGCATTTGCAGCACCTCAGCCGTCGATTGGTATGCTGAAACGGCTATTGAATAGCACAAATCATTTCAAGTATTAAATTGACTATATATGCAGATTAGAAAGGGTGGTTCGACTTATTTATTTTGAATTTCACTTATTCACTCCTTAAAACTTTTCGACTGACAAGAACTAAGTGTAGGTGTACCAATTTTAGTAGAATCAATTCTTTCGTCATTTATTTTTATGCCAATTCTACAGATTTTTAATTCAGTTTATTGTTTAAGGTTTGTAGGATCATGTCCAGGCCAAGAACCCGTAATCAGAAGATGATGGCCAGGCTTAACACTCCCACATGGCCATTCGAATACGATGATTTTATGATGGAATCAGCTGCCGATGTTGCCCGATCCATGGAAACTCTGCGCAACAACGAGGCGTATGAAGATCTCCTCTACGAAGTGTATCTGCTAATGGTCTTCCATTTTGAAAAAAACTTCGATGAAATTGCAATAAAATGCAGAATGGATTGGTTTCGAAACAGGTTTATGTCGTTTAAGATGTACATTGCGACGGATGGTGTCATGTTCAATCGTCATACAAAAAAGATCACTTTGGACAGGAGTTTATGGCCATGGAATCGCCGTGTAAGTCATAAATATATATGCTTAAATGTAATGTACTCGTTTGTTTGAAATATCATGGTACAACATTTATTTAATTTGTCTTTCGTATAATATACAGGAGACGGATGAAGAGAGGATGTTTAGGGTTAACGGCTTTCCGTTGTTCGAAGAGTGCAAGTTTGTTTTCGAATGCAAACAAGCACCGGCATGCAACTTTGATGGGATAATGGGATTCAGCCCGAACAACCCACTGGTCATTGATGGAGACGAGGAAGATGATGAAAGCGATGTTTCGGTAGATGCCGAGCCCGTTGTAATCCCGGATCACGAAGTGCCAAACATTGAAAATAATGTCATTGGAAATGTTGGAGCGCCAAACGAAGACAATGAACCAGCTGTGAGTATCAGCGATCATGATGGTGATGATCGTAATTCCGAATCCCAGGGATCAGTTGGTGCCGATTAATCTCGAACTTCGTTTATATTAGTTAATCTTATTTCGTTATATTTGTGGGTTGATGTTCTTATTTAGATTCCTTAGTAAGTTTGTCTTTTGTTCGGGACTAAGTTCCCAAATTTTCCCATATGTACGGACTGATTTTCGGAGGGTAAGTTCCCAAATTTTCAATTGGATATTAATGATGAAGTACTATTATATAATTCTTGTATCTCCAGTAGATTATAGCTTATTAATTTGCAAACATATATTCAGTAACTATTGTACTGTGTTAATGAAATGTATGTACCCTAACGAAGATAAATTACACGTAATTATTCAAACAAAGTTGAATACACTCAAGTTTGACCTTAAGTAAACACCTGTACCACTTTATTCAAATATGGAAGCAAAACCATAATCAATGAACATAAATGTTTACTAAACAAACACTTGCAGCTCTCTAAAGAAATTGAACAGCAAAACCATTGTAGGTCAGTTTACAATTCATAGTTAGAACGTGCCGATGACAGTTACAACAGTAGGACATAATCTAGTACAACAAACCTCTTAGCTGAATAATGGAATGGAAAAAAAAAACGCTTGTCTTCAACATAAGAACCGCTGATTCACCATTTCGTTACAACATACAGTTAAACGAACTTTACTACGAAAACAATGCATACAAAACTAATAGACTAACAACAACTGCAACAGCTGAACCAGTTGACA